ATATATATAAAAATACAGGGTGTCCTGTATATAACTTAATGCTAGAACATTGGTATCAACTTTTAAAATATTACATTTTCAAAATTGAGCAGCGAACATGTCGTATGACTCTCGAAACTTAATGATCACATGTAAAGAGATATAAGTGAGAAGAGACAAGCTTTTCATAAATGTTAAATAATAATTATATTTGACAATGATATGCTTATAATTAATAGTCTATGTCACTGCTCGCATAGAATTTTCTGTTCTTTTAGCGTTATAATTTTAAAGTATTTACAAAATATCGAAAACTATAGTATATAAAATAATTGGGTAGATTAAAATGAGATTACGGCACTAAAAGAAAAAAGAAAATTATTTTCAGTACGTACGTATAAATTGACTCGGAGAGAAAACTCGTGCTACGATATTGAAGAATATACAACAATTTATTGCTAGAATAATTTTGAAAGAAATGTCAACAAAAAAATGGAACTTATTATTTAAAATTCTGAGTTTAAAAAAGAACTAAATGAATTAATGCAACATTATTCTAAATGCCAGTACATATAATACGACTTAATCTTATTTCTTTTTTTTATTATTAAAGCTCATGAGTTTTAAGTATTACTATCAACTAAATGCTTCTTTAAATCAGATTCTAAAATAAAATTATTAAAGAAGTGTGTGTGTGTGTATACTGCGATTATAATTATATTAAATAGAGAAATATATGATCTTTTAATATGATACAGTATGCACAAAATCATTTCTTCAAATGAAAAAATACGGAAATATTTAAAAATTATCTTTATAGAATTTATTTCCCATCATAGATGGACCTTAACTGATCTGAAATGATCTTCATAATAAACTGCAGTATTCATTTTTAAATGCCCTATTAGAGTATAAATGAAAAACCATATCGTTCCATTTAAAAAACCAAAGTTGACCTTTGTATTTCCTTTAAGTTTCAATCTATAAGAAAAAATTTACAACATGAATTAATGTGACCCTTAAAAGAGAATAAATATGATTTGATGTAGTTTTGTTTTCTATTGTTAAGAAGATGCAAGTTATTCGGGTAACTTGTTTCATGTTAATCACCCTGTACATATATTGATTGTTATTTATTTAAGTATAATCTTTAATTATAAACTAAAACAATCACTACTTACAGTTTTATTTTTTATTATTTACTGCTAAAACAGAAGAAAAAAGAAAAGATTCTTCTTTATAAGATCTAGTTAGAAATATTTTAGAATATATATATATATATATATCATGAATTAATAAATCATGTCAAAATTTATCTCACTTTCTTAATGGAACATACAACACATATGCGTATTTGTTGTTGTTGTTGTCGTCACTGAAAAACTCTGATGCATTACTTTTTAGTTGTTTTGTTTAGCATTCTCACACATATTCAATATCATAAAAAAAAAAAAAATTTAAATAACTAGTGACAAAATTATGTAATAGCATAAAGTTATTTTTTCTCAAACTATTTTCTATGTTATTAATTTCTTCGTTACGAAGCTTGCAAAATTGAATGTTCCATATACATATTTTTGCCTATGGAGGACTATGATATAAATTCGGTTAATACATTTTAAAAAGATTAAAGATTTTATATATATATATATACCTATCTGCGACATATTTATGATTTTGTTATAAATCAAAAGAAATTGTCATACTCTTTGCTTACATATTCGAAGTATTCTATAAGATTTAAATATGTAGCACGAACAATCTCTATTAGTCTGCGATACGTATTTACTTTTTAATAATAATAATTTGCTAGAATCCAACAAAAAATGTCTGTCGAAAGAATTCAGGCATTTTTTTCTTTTCTTTCTATTTTTCTTTCTTTCTTTCTTTCTTTCTTCTAATAATACAAGGAAGAATTACACAATGTTCCGTTCATATACATTTAAATTATCATTTATGTAGTAGCATGTGAGAGAATATATTTACACGTGGTGGTTCGTTTATATATAGACAAAATTTCAGTTGATTGTGATAGTTTTCTTTAATCGATGTCAAAAACATGTATTTCTTCTCTAAATTCATAGTATATATATATATATATATATATAAATCATGATTAATAAAAAATTATCAATGTATTATGTTTTTCTTTTGTTCATATAATTTATTTCTCGTTATGAAAATTGTATTTGTGCAATGAAAACTGGAATGTTTTGTTATTTTGTATATTAAAGATATCAACAGTCAACAAATACACCGTACATAGTTTTTTTAACGTAAGAGCATTGAAATGAATTTAATTTTTTAAACATCAAACATAAAAAAATATTTCATAAATTTTGCACATACTTTAATATGGCACGCACACAAAACTACGACGGCTTATAATTATTTTTTATTATATATATATATATTGATTATATCTCTCATATAAAAATAATGCAACAGAAATATTGATAGTGTTGTAGTCCTGGATTTTAATTTACAAATAAAAAAAAAAAGAATTTTTAGATCAAAAGTCTACAATCTTTCAAAATTAAAACTATAACTTTATTAAAATATAATTCTAAATTTTTCTTTCCTCTTTTATTAGCATAAGCGATAAATGTATAACAACAAGTATAAAAACTTATACGTAACATAATATTATTTCAAAAAGTATTCGTTAAATGATCTTGTAAAGAATATAATTTTCTAAATCAACATGCACTCTTCCTCTTTTTCATAAGATTTCATTTCTATCACATTATCAGTTTTCATTGTATCCAATGTTCAATGAGAGTATTTTATTTACATTAATTTTTAATTCTTTTAATTTATCTTTGATTCGCGATATCCTCCAATTACTTAACATTCAGTGCACAAACTTTCCTATTAAAAAGAAGCGCTAAGCTTCTAACTAACAATTTGATTATTTTTCTTATTCTTATCGAGAACATAATTGTAAGAAGCTTGTGCAAAATTTCTTTTTCTTTTTTACAAATATTTCCTCGATAAAAACTATAAAATACGATGATATAATATTTTAATTGTGTTTTTTTTTTTTTCTTACTTCTTCTTTTTCTTGCATAAAATAATATATTATACGTGTGCAATACTGTAAACAATAACACATCTTGAATTATTTCTCTTTTAGAGAAAACAGTCACAATCAGCTGAACACGGATTGAACATTTTGATAGTCGGATACAAGATGTATAAAACACAAAGGTACACAAGGCGTAATAAAACAGAAACATAAAACACAATATGATATACGAGTATAGAACTGGAATGTGTACTGGATGAAACTGCATACTATAAGGAATACTATGCTATGTAAAATCTAAATATCACAATCACAAGCAACGTTAATAATAATAAATGAATTATAAAGTTTGTTTTTCTTTTCTCTAGAAGGTATAAAAAAAAAAAAAGGAGAAAGAGAAAGAGAAATAGAAGAAAAAAAAAGGAAATATAATAAACCAAAAAATGTAGTGCACATTCTAGTGTAGTAAAAAAATCAATTACTTATTAACAGACACAAATGTGTGATCTAATAAAAGATACATATATATATATTACCTACGTAAACAAAAATTTGGATATTATTGGCAGTTTTGATATATATTTTACTTATCAAAATATGTTTTTACTTAGTATATTTTTCCACCTAACGAAAATTAACAATTAATAACCATAATTCTTTTGTTTATTTATTATTTTTCAAAAGACGGTAATAAGAAAATAAACATGAAATGATGAAGTAGCATCGGTATTGTTGGAAACAATATTTTTAATATATCTCTATATATGTTATATTAAATGAATTTAATATTTAAGGAAACTATTTAATGTGTCATTCGCGCGCATCGATATTACTCGGGTAAAAATTGGATAATACATGTATTACAATACGTAGATTACACAAATTTAGTTTATCTCTTATTTTTATATAAATATGATACTAACCTGTAACACAAAGAATTTTTTCTTTTTTTAATTCGACAAGCAAATATTATTGCGACAAAAGAAAATAAAATATATATAGTTGTTTATATAATAATATCTTACTATAATAACTATAAATGTTTGGAAGTAATGTAAACTCGATATCAATAAGTTTTCGTATTCAGCTTTTAATATTGTCAACAATGTTTTTGTTTTAATTTTTTTTTATGTGTTAAATAATCATTTTTATAAAATAAAAATTAAAAATTATCTTTATTACTGAATTCTCGATTTTCATAGAATAAAGCTATATATAAATAAAGCCGTATACAATAAAGATCGGCCTTATTATAAACTTTTTTCTTTTCTTTATTTTAGGTTTTTTTTTTTTTTCATTACGGTCAATATATATAAGTATATATATATTCATTATAATAAATCAATAAAATTTTAAAAATTTCTACTCTCTAACAAATTGAGTCGTATAAATTTAATGAAAACAACAGTATGTAAAAAAAAAGTCCAAAAGAATTGAAATCGTTCAAAATTCTTTCTTCATTTATTTAATTTATAAGAGACATCGAGAGAGTGTCGGATAAATTTTTATTGCTTCTTTCCGATGTTATTCTTTTTTTTATTCTGTTTTGTTTTGTT